CCCATCAAGAACCCAATGCTTCTTGCTCAAGGAAAATTCCTGCTAGAATTTTTTTTTGTGCTGCAGAAATAATTCGGCAGTGTTCAGCCTGTGAGTTTTTATTATTTCTAAAAGAAGGGGTAACAATGATGTATACAAATCTCCAATAATTAAAGATGTGATGTTACTTAACGTTTTTTATGTCTCTCTACATCCGTTACACATTACACCCAGCTAGGAGCTGTTGTCCATGTTTATCTGCACAGTTTAAGCAGTTTGAGTTCTCTGATTTGATTCTGCTAATTTGTTGGTTGGTATGGTTACCACTGTGTGAAACCTTTTCTGTGAGTCTGGTGGCCAACGCTGTACTCCTGTGAGTACATTTTTGTTATTATGTGACTGTTCTCTGTGAAGAAATGAGAGTCTAGGATGTCTGGGTGACAGTTCTACATATAGCATTAGCATAACACTTTCCACGTACCAGACCCTGTGTGCAGTAAGTTGCGTACTGCAGTAGATGAATTTTCTCTCTCGCTGCATTTGCAGTGACACAAAAGGGCAGTAATATGGCTGACAAAGAATTAGGGTCCTGGTTTATGCTTAGACATTGAAGGCAACTGTTTATTTCCTATCATCAATGCTTAGTGATGCAGCAACAAGCCCCCTTAGGAAAAGTGTCTAGCCTTTAGCATGGTAGAACTTTCAGCTGATAGGAGGCCAGTATAGGTGTCTCCTTAGTTATTATGTCTGTGAATTACAGAGAGTAAACCAGATATTCACATTTAAACAAATTGTCGCCTTAGGATTTTTGGTTAATATGACCCTGCTTCAAATTAAGGTGTGAGAACCAGAGAGCTGTAATTGAGTCCCAGTAGGTACTCCCTGCTGCCACCTCCATCCTGTTGCATCAAGCCATTCCCAGCTGATGCATACCAGTAGGAGTTATTTCACTTGGCTGAAGAAGGAAAAACCTGGTATGAAAATGATTGCCCCAGACTATCAAAGCGTGAATTAAAAATCTGCATTTTATATGCTTCTGCCTCAACAACCATTGATGATGGTGGTGGTGTGCCTAAACAAAGAACTCGGATCATCTTTCTGCAAGGAGACAAGGAGGTTTTGGGCAGTACAAGTGAAACTTGCATTTTATATAGTAGCTTCATTATCACTAAAAATAAGTTAGATTATATAGGTGAGTCTCTCTATAATGCTTTATTTTGCAAGTAATGTCTCCCTTCTGCTGCAGGTGCAATTGTCTGAGTTATTTACACTATGTGGCAGTTTGAAGCTTTACTTAGTTTACAGGACATTGTCATATGCTGCAATTTTCAGTCATATTTAACTAGATCAAAATTAGGCTAGCTAGGGCTGGGTTGTCCAATTTATTTGTATTTGCAGTGAAATCGAAAACTGAATTGCCTCCATCTAGGTAGAAGTAGACTGTTTTTAAAAAAAAGGTATTTTTTGAAGGCAAACAGGTAATTAATTATACAAGGTGGTGTTATACAAGTTATGCAGGTCTGCTTTGTAAGATTCTTCAGAAGTAGAGGCTTGAAAAAGCTCTTTCTAGCCCTGCTAGCCTGAAGTCTTAATTTTGAAGCATATTATCCTTTAAAATACGAGACAGTAGTAAGCTTGGCTTTTTCTAGTTGTTGAAATTAGGGCAAAAGCATGTTCATTGAGTCCTATGCTTCATGAAAACTACTTCAATCATTTTATTTTTAAACTGAAATTTTACAGGCAGTAGGCCTCGTTTTCATTTCACATATACTGGTGTCAAATCAGAGTAGCTCCTCAGGATTTTTCAGTTTGCAGCTTGGGGAGAGACTGATTTAAATCACATTTTAGTGGAGACACCCTTTTGAATGCTAGCATAGTCACAACAGCCCTTTGAATACAATTTTTGTCAGTTTAGTCAATGAACAACCCTCCCCCCCCCCAAATATATGCTTTTAAATGCCAGATGTAGGTCATTTTATCAAACCAAAATGCAGTACGTATTTTGAAGTTAGCTCTTAGTATAGGCATTTGTGAAACCAAAGTATTTACAGAGCTCAAGTCCATTTACCACAGTTAATGTGCCACTTCTTAAGCCTGTCAACTTCATAGACTTCTGGACTGAGTACTGGGTTGATGACAGTCAGGGAGGCCAGCTCAAGCCATTAGTCTAACCACATCAGGACCTATGCTGCCTAGATAGCCAAAAGCTTTTTCTTGCTGCCCTAGATCCAGCCTATGCTCTCTGTAGCCATGAAAAGCTGCACAAGTAGCTGTCTTATTCCTCCTTCTAGGAGATCAGCCAATGTCTGCATATCTTTGTCTAAATATTCAAGTATCTTGTCTAAATGTCTTTGTCAGAAGCTTTAATGAGCTAATGTCTCTCCATCTCACGCCCATCATCTTTTTCAAATACGTTCTTGTTTCTTGGAAAAAAATGCTTTGTTCAGCTAACAGGAAACTCATTACATTCCAATTCCATTTAATTCCACTTTCTTATTCATGGTATTTCAATAAAAGGAATATGTACATATGTGTGTCTGAGGGATGTCACTTCATTGTGACTGTGATAGAAAAAAATACCATAGAGCCAGATTCCTCCCTCCCTCAAAGAAAATGCAGTCTTCTCAGATGTTATACTTCCTTACAAACAGGTTTTAAAGATAAAAGTAAAACTTTTAAATAACATAGAAATGAAGCACCATTGCATCTCCCCCTGCTGATAAATTGCAGCAGCATTTAATAAGACAATGTCTGACTTCTGTGCGGTATTAAAGGGAAAGGTCATAGTTAGCTGTGTATATAAAAACTGTGTTTAATTCTCTGCGTGCAGCCATTGTAATGTAAAGTCATAGTTAAAAGGTAGTTCAGTCATGGGTGAAGTGCTGTTCAAAGTATCAGCCTTGCCAACTGTTCCCTTTTTATGCGGAGTGAAGTCAAAGAAATCATTTAATAACAGCAGCTTTCATTTTACTTTACCCACATGGACCACATGTTCTTCACCCTAATGAAAAACGCCCAGAGGACTTAATTGAACAAAACACTGATACTTATTAAAAACTAGCAAGGTTTGTTACTTCTGATTTCATGCTATGCCATGATAGCTCTTTTTTCAAAGATACTGACTATGGAATGAGAGTCATGAGTATGTTGCCTCAATCACATGTAAAGGACAGTCTCTTTGATACTCTCTCTGAGAGAAGCTTAAACCCAGCATTCCTTAAACCAAACAATTTCTTATAGGCTTGTGACACCTGCCAAAACAATGAAATCTTTTTGCTTTGTTTTTTAAAAAGCAATTATCCCTCAGAGAGATCTGTTGAGCTCTCTTTCATGAGCATTTTTCTGAAGAGATGGCCTTTTGAAGGATCTCGTCCTTGGGCAGTAGGTGAAGGATAGCAAATGCAAAGCAAGCACTGGCATTCTTCAGCTTCATTACAGGGCTGTCAGATGGAGCAGGATGATCTCCACATGCCAAATGGCATTTTGGTTGAATTAAGTCCTCAACTGTAAAAGGTGTATTGCCTGCCTCTTAGCTTTTGCAACAGAAAGCTTTTTAGCTTCTGCACCGTAGCATTAAAGAAAATTACAAAATCTGTATGGTTGCATGTAAAGAGCTTAACTCTTAAATTTACTGATGTCAAAGCAGAAATTTAGTGTTTAGAAGATGTGTCTGAAGACTGCAAATAAAACAATAAAAACAAAAAACCCCTGGAGAGATTCTGTCTTTGCAATTCCAAATAAGTAATGTCTGTCACTGAACTGAAATACTATATTGAAAAATTATGAGACTTTCTATTATTCTGCTATATTTTGTTAGCAGGGCAACATCATATTGATAATTGTTCACCTTGTTAAAATATTTTGCAAGTCTTACACTAATTTCCTAATATTTTTCCACTTGAAAAAGTGTATTTTTGACTGCTTTAATAAATTTCCCATTGAGAGTGTATTAATTAGGGAATATTTTCAAGTGAAAGTTCACAATAAATAAAGGGGTTGCAAATTCATAGTAAATGAAAGTTGCTTGCCTACCCCTAATCATACATATTGATACTCAGATAAATCAGAAAATGTTTGATCCTTCTAGCAGAGTTACACGTTTGGAGCTGCGTATCATACCAAATGTTGTAATAATGTTGGCATACGAAATGTCGCGGTGCAAGAATTTACTTGATAATTGTCATATGTCATTAAAGGAATCATAGATTCGTGAGGTAATTCAGGTTGGAAGAGACCTCAGTAGGCCATTTTATCCTACCTCCTTCTCAAAGAATGTGACAATTATTTTAATGTCATTCCATGACAATTTAGGGATTGACCCAAATCATGAAGCTAAAGTAGACAATCAAATACATTGTCTTGAGGCTGGGGCAATGAGACAGAGGATTCAATTTAGATAAAGGGATGCATTTCCAGTCAGTGAGAACAGGATTTCTAGGTTCTGTTACAGGGAGCAAAAGGGCAAAACATCCACATCTCAAACAGCTCAGGTGTCTGTGCATGATGTAATTAAGAGAGTGCTTGTTAGTGGAATTCTGTGAACCATGTACTGAAATAAGTATGTTTGGACCTGGCCAATAAACCATGGCTGGAAGTGGAAGGATTTTAGAACTGGCTGCCAGAATTTCCTTTTCACTGAAACTAATACTCACCTCTGAAATTACTTCATTACTGCAAGTCAATTTCTCTTCGTAGCCATTAGATAAAACTGATTTTAAAATCTGTATAGAAGAGCACATGACTAAATGGGAGGGGACCTCTTCTGATATGGGAAGAGTCAAGAATACTGCTTAATTTTCAATTAAATCATAAAACCTCTGAAAGTTTTGATTTAATACGATAGGGATTTGCCATGACTTCTTTGCACCAGTCTTGTTTTCAAAGTAGCTCTCAAATCTTCGTTGTAGTTTATTCAGTTCATTTTCTATGTCAGTATGTTATTCTGCAATGTCAAGACCTAGGTCAAAATGCCCGGGAGTTTGACAATCAGTATTTTTTTCTGCTTTATCTGAATTTGATAGAGAATTTTCCAAGGAAAGAGAAAAAGCCAAGGCCCGAGGGGACTTTCAGAAACTACGTGAAAAACAGCAGCTTGAAGAAGATCTGAAGGGATATTTAGACTGGATTACACAGGCAGAAGACATTGACCCTGAGAATGATGAAGAGGTTGATGAAGAAGGCAAGCGGAACAGTATGTGTTCTTTATTCTGTACTACTTCTGTGTGGGATAGTTTGACTGCTTTTAAGGGTGTGACACTGGGGTGAATGCAGCCTATCTGATGTTGCTTTCTGATTTCCAGTTTGCAAAAGTGTTTGTTAGCAGAGCAATCGTGTCTGTTAATATATTGATACTTAGTCATGGAATATAATTCAGAATCTAACAATGAAATTCTGCTCTGAGTTGTCCACGTACAAATCATTGTCTGCACTAAATCGCTGCTGAGACTTAAAACTGTTTTGTTTGTGTTCTGTAAAAAGTTAGTGCATACAAGCTACGTGCCACTAAGTATCATCATAAACCTTTAGTCAAGAACAATATGTGTTTTCCTGTAGGTGCATGCAATAGAAATAATAGTAGTATAAAAAGCTTAAAAAATACGGCCAAAACTGTAGTCTGGAAATAACCTTGTGCTAATAGTGAGGATTTTTTTGAGTTTTCAAGTAGTCAAAAGACATTCTGTATCTTTCTTTCTGATATTCAAGAAAACTATATAAAATCTTCTTTTACTAGATTTATTAACTGAGTGTGAAATAAATGAAATCTTGTGTGATTTTTGTTCGACACTAAGAAATAGAATTATCACATAATGTATTTATTCAACAGTAGTTTATAGTGTATTATGGGAAAGGTAATTTCTGTTGTAGTGGCCCTCTAGTGCTTTTGACCTGAGTCCTAATGTAAAGGAACAAGTTAGTTTCATGATATTGCAACAGCTGTAAAAGTTACAATCGATTTCTCTATGTCATAAATTTTGAGTAACAGCAGTATTTTAATGTCATAATTTAGTAGAGGTTATTTTATCCTCTTAGCTATTTTACATAGTAGCGGTTAAAATTTTCATGAGAACTTTTAGTGCTGTACATAAATGAGGACATGGATTCAGGATGTGGTTTATGATTTAATACTAAACGTAAGATTAAAGTCCAAATTTCAATATATATACTGTTGCTAAATAGCACCTTATTATTCATGTGATACTCTGGAAAGTCATGGTATTTATTCATTTAGATACTATTGAGTATATATAAGAAAATGCATCTACAAGTGATTTGTCAAAGGCAACTCAGAATATTATTTTCTGTGTTTAAATAATACATTATTACTGTTCTTTTTCTTCTAGTGCTGCTAATTTATTGTGCACTGTTCTTTTAAACCATAGTACTTTTAAGAAGTAGTAAAATAGTGAAAATTATGTGGTTTGATACTGAGGTATCTGTTTTTAAACTTACCTCTGTATTGCATGCAGTTAAGTTTTTGAAAATTTTTTTAATTTCAGAGTTTGATTAGTCCTTTAGTTCTCCATAAAAGCAGGGTATGAATCTGTGTTACTGACTGGAAGGAAACAAGATGATTTTATGAGAGGCTGGAAAGCAACTTGTGGGTTGATCTTGATGCCAGCATCACCCAGAAAAGAATAATTTATGTCTATATGAAAATCTATAGCACAGAGTTTTTATCTAGAGCAGAGCAAAAAAGCCAGAGAGTTCACTGTACTTGGTTATTGCTACTAATGTTGTGTGGAAGGAATATGTAAACTGTGGGTTTGAGTATCAGTATAAAATCCTAAGGCTGAGAAGTAAAAGATTGCATGTTTTATGGAGTAAATACACTTTGTACAAGACTGCCATGCAGAATTGTAGGTGATACCAAATTTGCACAGAGCATTGGACAACCATGCTGTCAGCTGTGGTGCTGATGGACTTGGTTTGCAAGTCTTCAGGTGAAATCCCAGGAGCTTTTTGCATCCTGTTCAAATTGGATATTTTGTTAATATGCTGCAAAAGAACCGTTTGCTCCAGAATTGTTTAAACAGCTTCTAGGTCATATAGGTCTTTCATAAATCAAAAATACTTGTTTGCATGGTTGTTGAGTTTGAGAGAGCTTTTGCCTCCAAACTATTAACTTAGACATAATTTTAGGGTAAGTTAAGAGTTGGAGGAGACTTGCAGAGTAAAAATAGGAGACGGAAAGTGGTTAAAAGAACTTTAAAGCAAATCCCAAGAACTGAATTTCAGGCACGCCTGTGTATTTTGAGTGGAAATTTCCAGCAAATAGGCAATCTCCTAGCACTCTTCTGGGTTTGTGCACATGTGGTTAAATGTGTGGCTTGGAATTTAATTTTTAATATCAGCTGCAATGGGGTGTAAAGGAGGAAGGGTTGCTGAATTGCTTCACCTACTTGCATTCAAGACATGCTCTGCTGCACATCACATTGCGTGGGGAGGTATGATGAGAGACAGCACAAGCTATCTATCCAGTTACTCCATGGGAAACTTTTGGGTTAGGAGCATAGTTAGGATAATATCTACCTGTTTGGGAGTCAGGTGAAATTTAGCTAATTATCAACAGGTTAATAAACTTGAGTAGTAAGCTTAGGGAATAAATTCAGTCCAACTGTACGGGTGATGTGTTTCTAGAACTGTGTTTGAAGCGTAAGGTAGGGCTGGGTCGCAAGATAGGCAGAATAATCATTGGCAGGTTTCTAGGCAGCTACGTCCTTACTTTGAATACCTAAACCTCTGGATGATCAAGATTACTGCTGATTTATGGTGATGGAAGATCACCATAATGCTCTTCAACAATGTGGAAGAGCTCTGGGTTTAGGATACAGAAGATCTCCTCTCTCTATGGCAGGAAAAGGTACAGATTTCAAAGGCAGTTAAATCAGTGGTTAATAGCTTCTTACATAATCCTTTAAAAATGTAGTTTAGGTTCCTGCAACTCCAGCATTTCAAGATTTCTAACCAGAGAAGTCATTAAGTCATTTATATATGAGCCCCCTGTGTTTGTACATCTCTGTTGCTGATAGCAGGCAGGTATTCAGTGTTGTTGAATAATGGAATACCTTTTATTGTTGAGCAATGGAATACCTTGTAAATACGCTTTTATTAAAAGTTGTAAGTCTGTATTATGAACCAATAGCTAGTTACCCTGAAGTTAGTTAAAAACTCCCATGGACTTCAAAGCATGGCAAATTTAGCTCAAAATGCAAAAATCAGTGAGAGGTGAGGGATTTAGTTCTGATTAGTTTTGTTGCCGGTAATTTCAGTTTGTTTTGCCTAACATTGCTTGTGTTGCATATATGGACACATTTTTATTTTTTGCGTTGCAACTGCTGCCATCTACTGTGTAAATGCTGGGATTACATGTACTTGACACGAAGGGGTTACATTGGCTGACTTAATGGAAGAGAAGAAGAAAAGCAGACTTAGTTGCTTTGGCCGTTCTTCCAATAAACATGGTAAAACATGTTCTGATTTGCAGTTGAACTTTCTTTTGTGCCAATACTGCATTTGATGTGTTAGCTTCTGAAAGCACATATTGTATGCATTTTCTGTAACAAAAGCATATACATCTTTAGCATGTAGACACTCATGCATGCAGTTCTGCTGTTTTAAGTGCATGTCTGAAATAGACTGGTGCTGCAGTGCTCTACCTTCCTAAAGCATAGTCTTTAATCCATTTAGATTTCCACTGAAGTGTCTTTGTCTGTGACTGTTCTTGTTGAAGCGTAGGTTTTCTTTTTCAAAAGTCAGGTAAACCAGGTAAAAAAAAAAAAAAATTCAGGTGTGAAGAAATTAATTGAAGTATTTTACCAGCTTTATAATGGATCATAGTGTAAGCTTAGAATGGTATGATGGTAATATTTACTATTTATTTATAATACTTTTAATGTAGAATCTAACAAAACATAAAGTTTTACTGTATCTCCTCTTCTTATTGATGGTTTTATTTCTGTAATTTGTGTTTTATTCAATTTCTTTCCCACCCACAATGGAGATGGACAGGGGTTTTAGAGTATGATAGTTATTTTCAAATCTGCACTCTTAATACTGGCAGACATACTGATTTGACATAATCACAACTGTAGTAAAAGGAGATCTAGTTTTAATCCTACTTACATCAAAGTTATTGGAGCAACTGACTTCCTTGCTGTCCTAAGAATCACTCTTGTGGCTCAGACTGAGGCTGACAAATCTGATCCAGTTACTTTAAAAATGCAGAATATTAAGTCAGAAATTGCTAGGACCTGATGGACTCATTTTCTACAAATACTGAGTCTGCTTGTAATTATTTGTGTAACTTGCATATGTTGTCTAATAGCTTGCACAACTTTACAGGCTGGAATAATTTTTCCATAAAAATGCTAAAAGGCAGTGGTTGTAATGTTACTTAAGATATGTGTTTCACCACCATAGAATCATAGAATGCTTTGGGCTGGAAGGGACCTTTAGAGGTCATCTAGCCCAACCCCTCTGCAGTGAGCAGGGACAGCTTTAACCAGATCAGGTTGCTCAGAGCCCCGTCCAACCTCACCTTGAATGTTCCTAGGGATGGGGCCTCCACCACCTCTCTGGGCAACCTGTTCCAGTACTTCGCCCTTCCAGTTTCAACGTAGCCTTTAAACTAGCAGGTTCAAGTTCTGATGTCAGTCATGAAGCAGCATGGAACCGCCTGAAAACTTGCTGTTGTCTACTAGCTGCAAATGCTGTCTTGCTGCTAATACCTGACCTTGCTGGTCAAAAGCATTCTCAGGCACGTGTGCACTAACTTACAGTTTCGTCCGTGTCTCAAAGGGCAGGTATACCTTTTATGAGTAGGATTTTTCCAAAGTACAAATCGGTGGCTTGTTTGTTTCTGTATTTGTGAGATTATTATGCTGATCTGAGCAGCTCAGACTTTGACTACCACTGGATTAGAAATCCCACCCTAAATATTTTTCTTTGTATTACCTGTACCTCTATTTCTATTAAAAGCACCAAATCTGTAGACTATACAACATTCCCAAGATTCATAGTGTCATCCCTCAGGCTAGAAGCAGTTGGTTCAGTGATGCTTCTGTAATGAAGACTGATTATTTTGCTCTCCTTCTACTGCTATGCAACCATTCAACCTTATCTTAAATTTCCATGGGCTGCCTATAAAAAGAGAGCCTATAAGAATGATTGTTGATAGTATCATTAAATCTGCACTATGAAAACAGATACCTCGCTACAGTGTAATACAGAACATCTTCCAGGCAGTCCCTCCTTAAACTGAATTTACCCTGAGGAGCTTCACAGTCAGAGTAGATAGTACTACTTCTTTCTGATGTGTTTTCTGGGTGTACAGCAGACTTAGGAAAATTTGTGATGAATTTGCAATGATAATGTTGCCTCTCTTGTGATTTTTTTTTTTTGTTGTTGTTCTTTTCTCCTGTTTGACTACTTCAAAGATTTGGTGTAAAGGATTCAGAAAATCCATGTACCGATTTGAGAAAGAAAAATGCAAAGGAAATTTTGGAGCTCATGGAATTGGTTAGATGTTGCTAGCAGACAGAAGATGACCATTTTGCAAGGTTGATCTAAAATTTTGCCAATATAGTACCTTTTTTAATAATTGTAAGATTCTGTTCAGTAGCTATTACTGATTATTGTACTAGCTCTGCAGATCAGTGCACTTGTGCAGCTCTTTTCCTTCAGTATGGGTAACCTGAAAGCTACCCAAAGTGCAACAGTGTGGAAATGAGATCAGCCTATAGATCAAAAAAGCATAGCTGAAGTTGAACCAGATTCAAATATTAGTTATGTACTCTCTAGAGGAAGACATTTTCATCAGTAATACTTGCCACCACAGTTCAATAATTCATGGTGTAATTTAGCCTGCTTCTGGATTGTACAGTGACACCAAATTGTCATATAGCAGGATTATGGAATTTATTTCTTCTGACTCCAGCTGGTTAGGACATACCAATGCTGATGGACACGGACTTGCTCTTAGCTGTGCATGAGTTATGTTATGTCCTGGAGTGGAGTGGAGTTTGAAATTGCTGCTCCAAAATCTGAAAACTGTTTAGAGTAAATAGTGAACATTATAACATGAGAAAAACAATCTATTTTTTGTCTGCAGAAATAAAATGTAGTAGTTGATATATTTGACCTATTTTCTATATACTCAGGAAAATATTAAGCTGCATGCTATATGGGTTGTTTATATTGCCTAATGCAAGCATTCTTTTGTTTGAAACCAGTTACCATAATTGACGAGAGCTGATACTATATAGAAATCTAGGTAATCTTTCCAGAAGAATGCAGTAAAATAAGGGCAAAAGGTGAATAAAGAATAGAGAAAATTTTGGTATCTTCCTTTGAATACTGGAGTACCAGTTTAAAGATCTCAAAGCTGGCCTTACTGAGATCAGACAGTCTTTCAAGAGTTCATTCTGTGTGCTGTACTCTGCCCAAGGAACGCTGCCCTTAAAATGGTGTGGACATGAAATTGAGTCCTTCCAAGACTTGCCAGGTTGCTTGCAGTAGCGAGAGTGGTTGTGGTCATTCGGTGCTGTTGCTGTTTTCTTCTGGCTCAAGATTTAACGACTTCCTAGCATTGCTGGAGCTAGACTTCCACATGGTGCCTTTTTCAGTACTTCTGTCAAGTTTTTCTTTTGGCATATAAATTATGGTGTAATGATAGCTGAGTTTCTAATGTAAACTGAACTGTCTATGGTTCTTTTTTTCCTCTTCCATTTTTGTAACACAGCACCTGCAAGTCATTAATAAAGGTAGAGCAATAGCCCTGTCTGAAATAGAGAGTAACATTCTGTCTGTAATTAAATATTAGCAGAACTGACATTGGCTTCAATAGGGACATAATTTTTTTTTTCTTTGGTATTTTGTTTTCCTTCATGCAGTCACATTCAAAAAGGGCTGGTATTTCTTACTGTAGATTAACACATCAAGTCTGGGTAGACTTGAATTAAAATTATATTACTTTACACTTACTTTTTAAGAAATTATTTGGCATGTATTAAAACAAATAGCATTTGTGTGACACTGAGTGACACTTTATGAGGAATTGGATTCTAGGTACTGCCTTTAGATGAGGGAAGGGTTGATAAATTTGAAACACAAGTGTGAGACACGCATTGCACATATAATACTTGCAAAAGCGCACCTAGCTCTGTTTTCATGGCAGCTCTTATTAACAGTGTATGGAAGAAGACTTCTGCACTCATATTTTGGAGTTGCCCATCACAAGTGCTAAAATGTTCATCATTAGGTGTCTATACTGCTGTGTTTCCTAACAGCATGCAAGTCACCCAGCACGAGACAACCATTTCAGTTGTTAACCAGACAGGGAAACTCCTTGCATTTTTTGCAAAAGACCCTGGCGTTTTAAAATAAAACCTATTAGTTCTGAAGATCTGAGACGAAGTCTGAAATAGTTTTGTAATTTTTTTTTTTCCTTAAACCCTTTAAAATTTTAATACTTGAATTTGGATATCATCAAAAATTGTTTGCTTTACTTTTGAATGAAATTCCTTTTGAACTCTATGACTGTAAGCTGTGAAGTTCACACAGGACTAGCAATATTCATTTTTTAAAACCTATTTATAAAGAGAAGTATGATATTAGAATTGAGGCACTTGCAGGTGCTAACCAGGGATTTTTCATATATAAAGCAATTACAGTAATATTTTAAAAGAATCATCAAAATAGAAGAACCTTGTGAAAGAAGGTTTTGCTGTGCTTAGTGCCTGAAGTGCCTGAAGTTTTATTCAAAACACCTGCATGGACATTTTTGATCTTTCTTTGTTATGCCAACTCTGTGTTTAACATTTCATGTAATGGGTACAGATTCTCAGCTGTTACAAATAGTAGCTGAGCATCTAGCCTGCATAGACCTGTCACTCTCCACTTGGATGGAATTGATGGGTATGGAAACCAAACTACTATTTAACACTTCCATGGATCTCTGTGTCGGCGTTGAGGCAATATAGAGGCTGTGCAGAGAAACTGTTACTAACAGTTCTCATTTTATACCTAATCTGTAGACAAATCAGAAAATTCAGGGCCTGATTCCTGAGTCTCCCTTATATTAAGATGTATGTAATTAAGCCTGCTTTAAGCCTCCTTTAGGCTACCCAAATAGTGAGACATCCCTAACAGAAATAGGCATTGTAGCCCTTCTGCTTTCAGTACTCTCAGTCCACAGACATTGGCTTAAACCCTCCCCAACAAAACAAAACAAGCAAGCAAAAAAACCAAACAAGCAAACCATCAAAACAGCAGAAGGTACTAAAATTACTGTAGAACAGCAAGAACAAAAGAAAAGCAGAATATCTTTAAGATACTTGTTTTTCTTTTTCTTGCTGTTCTACAGTAATTTCAGTGCATCTTCCACCTCTCTTATTTTTCCTACTTTATATGGTATTTCTACTGTATAAACCAGCAACATAAATTTTACACTTCTCTTGTTCCTGAGGTTTTCGTTTCATTTTTGCTTTGCAGACATGGAAGTAGTGTTCTGCCCTAGGAAGTACTGAGAACTTTGGCTGTTCATCATTTCCTAACACCGTTTGACATATGTTGTTCTCCCTCTGTATTTCAGTTGATTTGAAGATAAATGGTGATGACTAATTTGCAAATGAGTTTTGTCTAAAAAACCATTAGCTACAATTTCTAATTACTCAGTAATGGTCCGCTATATGCACAGCAATTCTCCATGTAACAAATGTAATAATCCCCTTTTTATTAGTAGTAATTCTCATCATCCTTCATATTCTGCCATTCCCAGTGCTCCTTCCTGTCTGCTCATGTAGGATTTGCAGCCCATTTCTAGCATCTTGCCTTGATAACTCATAAAGGAAGTAAAAGTATAGAGTGGTCAGTATGATCAGAGTGTGGTGGTTCCTATTTTCAGAAGGACTTTGATGGTGTTTCTTGGAATTAGTGAGCATGTTAGCAGCACTTAAACTGCTAAGCACCTCCAAAGTGTTAACAGACTGCTTAATATGAAAGGTCAAAAAATCTCTTTGTTACATGCCCTTTGTTACGAAACTTCTCTACATTGTATTCTGTAGTGCATTTTCAACAGTTATGCTGAATCATTGAAAAGAAACAAAAAAAGCTACAAAACACTTTGGACTTCTGTGTGCTTTCTTTTGCTGTAAGAGGAGGACTGATGAAGTGTCTTAACTTCATCTGCTATTCCTCAGATGTTCCAATCTCTCATTAGACCTGCAAAAAGTGGAGGCATTCTTGCAGTAGAACAGGAGATCACATTCTGTGTAATGCTTTGCTTGGCTGTCAATCTAAAGCAATTTCGGTCTCCTAACAGCAAGCATGCCCACCAGTGAAACTGAATCAGTAAACACAGAGAATGTGAGTGGAGAAGGAGAGAACCCAGCATGCTGTGGGAGTTTATGGTGAGTACATGGGCTGTTTTAAAGTACGCATCCTCATCATCTCAAAATTTAAAAGAATCATTACCTGCTGTTTTATTTAGCCAAAACTGCTTTCAAATGGTCAAGCTTCATATGACGCTTGGGGGTTATTTTGCCTTTCACTAATTTAATATTAGGCCAATTATTACAGCATTAAAGCACTCCTAAAATTCTCAAGTTAAGAAGATATAAAACGATTCAACCAAATTTCCGGTGGAGTCATGTTTTCCTGAAAGCTTTTGTAAAATACAGTTATTGTCCAAAATAATAAGAAAAGAACGGAAGTCCCCTATGACATGTAAAAAGAAACGTTTTCTGTTAAATTGTATATGATCTGGAGAATATGTATTTTTTAGGCAATAACCGAATGTATGGCAGTATTTTGACATCCCACAGTATTCGCTATTTATTTGCTCAGATTTTCATGACTTGCAAGCAGCTTCTACATGAGCAGTTTACTTAGTTTTAAAGGAGATTTCCTTTTTTTCACTTAGAAAATTTGTAAAGCTTTAGGAATGGTACTTCAGAAAATAAATAACAGACAATAGCATTTCAGCATTCACATTGCATTTTGTTAAAAGCTCGTTTTTATGTATGTGTAATTCCAATGTATTGATTTGCAAAATTCTGAAGAGAATGAATTTGTGTTAATTATTTTTTCCACATTCTTAAAAAGTTGTTTTCCTTTTCTTCTAGTCAAACCATCTCAAAATCCAAGTTCAGGTCAGTATTTTCCTCTCTCTTCATCGCTTTTTTTTTTTTTTTCCCCCCCTTGTGACTGTCTGCACATCATGATGATCTCATATAATTATTCTCTATTTACTGTACTTTAAATTTTACTGTGTGAAAATTCTTCCGAACAGTTACTGGTGAATACAAAAGTAAGGTATCCATGAACACTTTTGGAAATCAAACTCCCTGATTTACTTTGCTGATATTTGTGGCTCTCTTTTCACTTACTAGGAGCATTTGGGAATATGAGCTTCTGTTTTCGATTGCAGAAGGGAAGTGTTATAAGCAAAATAAAGAATTAATAGTCCTGATATTGTAGACACTGGATGTCCCAGTACAAAGCCAATAGGTTTCGTTATTTTGATTTTATTTTCCAGTCTTATTGGACGTATATTTAGTAATTAGAAAGGATAATTGCAAACACAGAAGAGATACCTCTTTCTGTTTAAAAAGGTTAGGTTACTCCATGAAGGAACAAAAAAACCCCCAGCTATGTGATTTAAGGTAAGTAGTCAAGTGGCAGACTCAGTGAATCATGAAGGGCAAAGACACTCCTACAGTTGCAGACAACCCACAGGATAAATATTTTTCACAGAAAATTTTCAGTGAAAAGAAGGGACAGTCAAGAAGATTGGGCAACATCTGGCAGCAGTTTTGGCTGGAATCATTCCAATTTTTTAACCCTAGTAAAACTGATTTCAGTGTTGGATGTATAGCAAGTAATTCCTTGGTAACAGCAGTGTATTCTCCTTGCAGCAATGAAGAGGAATAGCATACCCAGGTTTATTCTACTAGCCTTACTAGCTCTAATGACCTACCAGCGCTGACCAGTTGCAAGCAGTTGGAGTGGACTTGTGTTCCTTCTGAATAATCTTCTTTCTTTTTTGAAGAAGAGCTCCCAGGCAGCAGTTAACTGGTGCTTTTCTACACTGAGAGTTTTTTCATGTGATGCTATGATCAAGCTTTATTTTGTCATCCCTTTCAGCCAGCAAACTGGTGACAGCATATAAATGTGCCTCACTCTGCTGAAGAATGTGGCCAATGGAGTTCTGGCCATTTAGGATGATAGTGAATACACAACTAACTTTTTAGAAGTTTCATCATTAGTTATAAAAGCTGTATCACTTCTTGTATGCCTTCTGCTACAGAAACTGGCCTTAGGTGCACCAACTGAATGGACCAGTTATGTCCATGTGGACCTTTGAGCTTAACCATTCCTGAGAATTATGAGAGATGAGACTGCTTTTAGCTTAATAAAGTAATTCAGTGTGCTAATGGTCTGTAGTTTCTTTTGCCATTGCTTCCAGTTATCATAACAGTAAAACAAATGGAACAATTTGTTTAGTAATTCATTAGCTGAGGATCCCAAACAAGCATGATTATTTTGAATCATGAGATTGTCTCCAATCAACCTTAGAGCATACTATTTATTGCTATGAAGCCTACTCATGCTGGTTTTAAAGGAGAAACTCAAATACGAAGTGGTCACACGAAACTTTAAATACCAGGCAGTGCTAATAGACTGCCATTGTACTACATTCTCCAAGTTCGGTCTGTTTGCACAGTGGGGACTCATAGGTTCATTACAGAGAAAGCAAAGTAATGCCTACATTCTGAACCATGCCCATTATTCATATTTTAAGGAAAAAGAGAACTCCAGAAGCTCTGTTAAATGAAAGCTGCTACGTCATCTTTGAGAAAGGAAAATTTCTACCCAAACCTGATGTTTTTAATAGTCCAAGCAGTGAGCAAGAAGCAGTCAGTGCTATCCATCTCTACAATCATTGTTCATAATCAACACATCAATTTGAAAGAAAACTTTATTTGCAAGCCAGAAAGTCCCCAAAGTCTCTCCAGCTGTCTAGATTCTGCTACTGTCCTAAATGTCTTTTGCGTGAGCTCTTTGATCAGAATCTGTTCTTGTGGCATTAAAAAACGCAAGTGACACAGAAGTTCATTCATACATGTATTGCTGCATTTATTCACAGAAGCTGTGGCAATTGGCAGTGTGCTGTGTCTCTCATTTGGAAGTGCTTCAGGGGTCTGCAACTGTTTGAGGTCTTCAACCATACTTAAACTTTTTAAGCTGAATTTGGTAATGGGAATTCCCCCTTCAACTTTCACATCTTTACTGGTAGCATTGGAGAAAGATCTATCCCTTTTAACTTAATGAATCCATGCGAGGAGTAGTTTTGAGGCAACAGAGCTCAAAATTATAGTTGTGCCATTGTCTTCCAAACAGATGTGGCTTGCACCATGTCCCAAATCCCTAAAAACAGCTGACAACATCTGTTATCAGAGAGAAAAAGCTCTTTGAAGAGCTGCTGGCATTGCAATGCCACTAAGAACAGAGTGTATCTGCTCTTCTATCTCTATAAGGATCTGCAGACTCACAGTTCTCATCCCATTGCTTCTGGATACCTAACGTCTCATATTTACAAAATCCATTTTTCTGACATGTCAGAAGAATGTAATTTTGGTGTTTTTCATTGGAATGAGTAGTTTCTAAAAAGCTCTGTTTACCTAAAATACAGAAGCTCTCAGTTCTGCAGCAAAGCCCTAGATTATGTGTTCAGCTGTCAGGGACGTGCTAAATCTTGGTCTAATTCTCACTCTTCTGGCCTGATCCTTGCTCCAACTTCGGGAATGTTATTCTACAATGGCAGTACACTGTGTTTCAGGGAAAAGTAAATCAGGACGTAGCTTAACAAGGATATTGGTTTGACCGTGAATGTCTTTGCCTTTGGATCAAAACAAAATGCTTTTTATTGCAAGCTAGCCTACCTGCTGTACCACTAGTGAAAATAGAAGTTAATCCTTGGAAATATGTTTCTATACAATCGGATGGGTACTTGGTCAAGAGAATTATGTCCTAGCAATTATCTGCCAGTTTATTAAGTGAAGGTGTATATCAGCCACACACTATGCTAGGATATATATGGGTAAATATGATCTGTGCTGCATATTTGTAATCTTCCAGGTGGAATTTGAAATGTTTTGATACTAAAACAGCTGTTTTTTCTCCTCACATGGAAGCAACAGATCTATGATTAGAGGAGGATGGAGATCTGCTAGTTGAAGAGATTTGTGCACGTTGTCCTCTGTGAAGATCCTTCTTTTTAAGAATTAGCTTCCTCATTTGTCAGTATGATTATATGATCACATTAACCTTCAAGTCATGCTAAAAAAATGGTACTATGCCCTAAATCCTGTAACTTAAAAAATGAGGAATGGAAGAATAATCTCAAAGGCTTCTATTTTTTTCCATAATGAGTGAGCTCTCTGGTGCAATTCTTCTGTCCCATATTTTATAAATAAGAGTAGTGAAGTCTAGGGTCTCTGCACAGATGTTAGCACCCACAGTTACAGAAGATTCATCTTGGGCATTAGTATTTACCTCTCTGTGAGCTTGCTAGTGAAAATACGAGGCATGCCAGTTTCGCAGATACAGGGATTATGCATGTGGTTCTAAACAGTTTAGAAAAATACCATGTTATAATGAAAGGCTGCTGATACAAAATAACCTGAAAATGAATGTTCCTACCTTTGCATAGGTCTAGTAGTGATACACAAACACACATGAATAGCAAGTAAGCAAACTAAATAGATTTTGCATGACTGACTGACACTGAGTTCAGTTAGACTGAGTACAAGGCTGAATTTCCCATGTGTGGATTGAAATTTAAGACCAGGGCCTAAAGGACCACCTAAACATGAATACCTCAGTGAATGAAAGTGAAATTGGGAACACATCTGTAAGAATAATGATTTGCTCATAAATATTTATGAAGAAAAAATGATACATTATTTAATGAGAACAAAGGCAGTGAATAATTTGGTTTGTTGTAACAAACTATGTCAACTATAAGTGTCCTCTGTGATTTTAGTATTTATTCAACCACTATATTTTGTGAAAATGCTTGATAATTTCATGAAAGCAATATTATATCATTGCAAATTTATGAAAATGGAATTTCTCTTCAAAATAAAGGGTACCTTTCATTCTTCCAGAAAAAAAAAAAATATGGTATTTGGTTAAAACTAGGAGGGGTGGTTACTAAAAAATAGAAAACTGTTGAGTGAAAATAGTGTGATTTGTTTTCCTATTTTATATATTTTTATATATATTTTATATAGCTGCAGGTCTTCCTGGCACAAGAGACCATCTACTTCAGTCTGTTTCTTACTATTTATTTCTTTAATTGTACCAATCTAATGAAGGTGGAAAATTACTCCTATTATCCTTTTTGAATTTTTGCTTTATTTCTGTAGGCTTTTTACATATGCTTATATTATTCATACACTTCTACGTGTGAGTGCCATTGCATACCCTTTGGAAGCATTTTCATATGTGTACCACTATTTTGTCACTGATTCCGTGGACCTTTCTGGGGGAAAAAAAAGCCCTATTGGCTTCAGAGAGCTATAAGTTACACAATTTGAGACTGCTTTTGGCTCCTATGAGTAGAGCTATCCAAACAACATTACTCTTGTCTCATGAGACTCTTGTCTGTAAGTGTAAAAAATGGGTGTTTTACCTACCCAGGGAGTGAGCCATCCTGATGATGGCCATGGACGTAGTGCTGTTTAGCAGGGGACTGGCAAGAAGAAGAACGTTCTTGAATCCTGTGTTGCTTTAGGTCAGGACAGGATATTTTTCCTTTATATGGTTAGAAAACTGCAAAGGCTTGAAACATCTTTGTACTGATGTCTGAAACCAGTATTAATTTCCATTACTACAAGTACAAATTTAAGGTGTGTAAGGAAAACTCAGTTACTGCTTGAATGCAATGCCAAGCTCAGTTATTTTTATGGTGGTCTTACTGCATATTGGTTCTATTTTCTGAGGCAGATTTAAAGCATTTCTGATTTTATACATACTAAATACAATACCTGCTAATTAAGACACTGAAAGCATTAAGAAATCCACCTAGTTATTTGTAACAATTTTCAAAAGCCATAGTTCCCTGTTTGTGGTAGTGCCAAAAGGGCTGTAGTGCCTTTCCCCTGTCTCAGCCCCTCATTCTTCCTGCTCTTTCTGGGATGCGGCAATACAATGAATTGGATCAGACAAATGACCAGCTAAAATCAACCCAGAAAAAAAGAAATTGGTTTCCACCAGTCAATTCGCAGGTCTGGCTCACTTCATTAGGACTAGTTTTGGTAAAAGGGAAAGGAGAGAGCAGAACAAGGAGGACAGACTACCCCTTTCCATCACAACAGATTTATGCTAGCCTGGCTTGATAGTGAAACTATAGAGGAAGAAACTTATACATGCACCCTCTCCTCAGTTCTTTGCTATTTTAAGGCTAGGTCAAGCTTCCATTGGAGTCTGTGCCTGCTTTGTCCCTTGAATTTTGGATGAAGCAGTTGTCAGTTCCTAAAATTTATTATCTGAGTCCACGGCTGTAGTTCTGGATGTGTGAATTTCATATGCTTCCCTTTTAGCTGATATCAAGTGCTTCCTAATCCGTCTCTTCCTATGACCCAGCAATATATTTTCTTTCTGTTTCACAAATGGGAATGCAACCCAGGGAGACTAATTGGTTTACTAAAGTTCCCAGAAGTGAAGCAGAGAAATTAAATCTAGTTTCATGAGTCCAAAGCTAAGCTAATACACTTGTCTATCCAACTCATATCTAGATAGGGCCTGTTTACTTTTCCTTGATTATCACTCTTACTCATTTCACAAACATGTGCCTACTGACACAATTTCAAGGCACGTCAGTAGAAATTTCTCGGAGTTGCTGACTGAGATTTCTAACATTATAGGGTAGATTTGTAAGAGTTGACCTCAACATTCCTGCCTTGTTTAATCCTGCCAGAATTGTGCCTGTGGTTTAACTCAAAGCCTGCATTTTCAGACTAAATGTTATTTGAATTCTAAGCTGCTTGCTGGCTTTTCTTTACTGCTATTAAGTGTATGGGGCCTGGGAAGACAGATATATCTTGTTACTCAATGAAATATTAAATGCAACTTAATCTAATTATGTCACAGGCAATTAGATTCTCCAAAAGTTGTGGTTTACATCTAAAAATCTATAATGAAATCTAAAAAAGGAATTAACACTCCCTAATCTACAACTGGTAATAATTTACACAACTAAGTATTGCACACATATTTATGAAAATACACCTGCTCACACATACATACTTGCACTATGTTTTCTACACAGAAGAAACCCTCCTTAAGTTCATATGTGTTTTCTGTATAAGAATAAATTTGTTTTTATTTGAACTTTCAGTCGACGCTGGCGTCGCTGGAATCGATTTAATCGAAGAAAATGTAGAGCTGCAGTAAAATCTGTCACATTTTATTGGCTTGTTATTGTCTTGGTCTTTCTGAACACATTAACTATCTCATCGGAGCATTATAATCAACCTGACTGGCTTACACAGATCCAAGGTACAATCAAAAATTATTTGTCCTGTTTTTGACTATGGATACTTGCGTTCTATCAGTGCTTACTTTTGTACTTTGCCATTTTGTTGTTGTTTGCTGTCCTGAAGGATATTCAGCCCAGCCAAAGATACAAGAAATGACTGAACATATTTGATTTCCACAACTGTAACACGGCTTAATGGCACACCAGCAAAAAACTGGCAATACTAAATTGAAAATACCGGTACTTTTATTGTTAAACCGTGCTTGAAAGATGAAGAAGGAAATGGTAACTGGCACAGCAGGACATGCTGTGGGCTGTGTTGCTTAAATTACAGCGTGGACTCAAGCTGTGAGTTGAGCAGCTATGAACTGTGCAATGGATTGGAAAGATGAATAGTTTATAGGTGGCAGGAAGCTTTACATCCTTGTGTAACTTTTGCCACTTAGGCATCAAACTCAGTCCAAGATAAAAATGCAGTACTTCCTTCATAATCAAAGGGCTGCGAACTATTATAGGTACTACTACTATGTTAAAATAAAAATGGAATCTATGAGACAATTCAGGAATGTCTTTTTTTTTTTTCAATACTTTCTTCCAGATATCGCAAATAAAGTTCTTCTGGCTTTATTCACCTGTGAAATGTTAGTAAAGATGTACAGCTTGGGCCTACAGGCTTATTTTGTTTCTCTTTTTAACCGCTTTGATTGCTTCGTTGTTTGTGGTGGCATTGTTGAAACCATTTTGGTGGAGTTGGAAATTATGTCACCCCTTGGAATTTCAGTGTTTCGCTGTGTTCGTCTCCTGCGTATTTTTAAAGTAACAAGGTAAGATTAACTAATACTGCTAACTTTAAGGATAGCTGAAGGGTGATTAGCAATTCTTTTGTAATACTTCATCATGCGCTGCTCTTTTACTGTTTTGTTTGGGTTTTTGTGGTGTGTGTTAACACACGCATTTTAATTTATAGGCACTGGGCATCCCTGAGCAACTTGGTAGCATCCTTGTTAAACTCAATGAAGTCCATTGCTTCACTGTTGCTTCTGCTTTTCCTCTTCATCATAATCTTCTCGTTGCTTGGAATGCAGCTGTTTGGAGGCAAATTTAATTTTGATGAAACTCAAACAAAACGGAGCACCTTCGATAATTTTCCACAAGCTCTTTTAACTGTATTCCAGGTAACTTTCTTTCATCCTGTATGAAACATTTTACCTTTGATGATCAACAAAACTGTTTAAGTGATCATGTTGCCTGAAAATAAAATCACAAATACTATTTATTCAGTTTACTTTAAGTAGCATTCTGCTCATTAAATTCAGTACTCCGGTAACTCTGCACCATTTGTACCATTTGTTTCATGTCTTACTTGATCTATCTATGCAACATAGCTGTCATATTACTTCACAAAATTGAATCTCCTTTGTCCATCAAATACAAGACTAGAAAAAGAGGTGGAATGTTATTTTTATTTTAATCAAATTGTTTTCTTTAACTTTGTTAGCTATATAAAAGTTCAGCTGTTCCCAAGCAGGAAAAAATGAGCAGCACTGTAACAGTGCATATTTGCATATGGGTCATATCACTTAGTAGAATATAAAAATAAGTATGAATTTCTTTAAAGAGACAGTGTAAGGTTTATTAAAATTTTAAAGCAACTTGTCTGTTACTTGTGAAAAGATAGGGCCATACTTACAGTTTACTTTTTTTACTTTTTATGATCCTTTTTTTCAATTTTCCCAATTGGATACAGGAATTAGGCTAATTGTTTTAATCTTTCTAGTCATTTTCACATTCAGCTTTGCACATTACCACAGTGTTTGGTTTCAGACATTGTAGGTGAGTGTTTAAAGCTGACCCTGCAAGACTCAACTTTGTGTTAACTTCCTATGTCTTTGGTAGAATTTTCATCTGGTGGCCGCCCAGAGCAAGCAAAAAAAATCTTTCCATGTAATTTTAACATAAGGAAATCTTAATGAGAAAATTCCTTAAGAGGAAAAGTGTCCACATTTGACCTGACACTGGCCCTTTAAAAAATTAAGGCTGTACTTTCAAACTCAGTTGGATTTTATTCAGATTTTAGGCTGCCTCATCTTCAAAGGAATGAGCCTTCCTTCAGTTTCAGAATACACTCAGGAGCAACCAACCTGCTGGGTGCTCAACAAGTATGAAAATCAGCTTGATAAGCTTAGGTCTCCAAAAATGAACTTCAGAAGTTGGCATGCATATAATTTTCTTGAACAACAACTGAATTACTTGCAAGGAAAGTCAGTATTACATGTTTTCTCAGAATAGAACTGAAAATTTTTAAGTTACTTAGAAGTACATAAAGCGCCCCTATAACCTGCATTGTAATAATCAGAATTTTGTTGTAGTACAGAAAAAGTGGAGTAGCCTTATTGTAAACTATCCTTTTAACTAATCAACAGATTTCTGTAAAATTCTTTCAGACTTCTGTGAAATTATGTGAAACAATAGCCAATAACAAACTCATGTAATTCTCCTATAGCATTGAACTCTATTCAATTTAAAATAGCTACCATTTCAAAAGCTATAGCAGTAGTGTGTGTGTATTATATAATTTATGATAAGGCTGCCAGTCCCCATTAAAACTGAAACTGGGTAGACCGGTTTGCAGGACTAACAAATGGCATACACTAAAAAAGATTTTTGGCCAATATTTAAAAAAAAAAAGAACCTTAAAACATATACTACTAGTGATGAACATTTGCAGGCATTACTACATACGTGGCATTACTGAAAGTAGGGTTCTTACTTTTGCGTGCCAAAATCAATAAAATTATAGGCTTCTATTTTTATTATTTTTGCCTTTGAAGTTCAGTGATGTAAATGTGTAGCATAAAATAAAAAAAAAGCTAGTAGAGTTAAACCCAGGCTTTCAGAAGATGCTTATTTAAATGGAAATTTTAAAACAATGCATGAAAAGATTATGGTATCTCTTTATATATACAGAAGGTTAGCCTTATTGTGTATTGTGGTCAGAGGAAACTTATTTCACTATTGCTCTTTTTGATGTTGAGTTACTAATAATGTATCTGCTTCTTAGATTCTAACAGGTGAAGACTGGAATGCTGTTATGTATGATGGCATAATGGCATATGGTGGCCCATCATCGTCAGGCATGATAGTCTGTATATATTTCATTATCCTCTTCATCTGTGGTAACTGTATCCTTTGCAGTCACTGGAAATATCTCCAAATGGGGCTGTGTGCCAGGGACATACGCAAAATTTCTCTAGGAGGGAATAAATTGCAATGGACATGCAAGTGCTTTCTGCATGTGCTAAGTCCTTTAGACTTTGTACACCCATTCCCTAATGAATGAGACTCTGGTGATCTCTGAGTTCATCTCTGGCCACCACAGTGGCAGAAATGAGAAAATTTTTTCTTCCTTCAGTGGGAAAACAGCCCACTGTTTCCATTCTACCTGCCTGTCTCTATTTGACATATCTCCCTTTGAAAATGCGTGGATGTAGTCTGATCTCTATGGCAGTAATTTTCTGTTCATCCTTTTGATGCTTGATATAGCCCTGTTAATTCTGACACACACTGACAGTGGAGCCAGTGATCCACTGTATAGCGGAGGGATCAGATGAGAGAAATCTGCACAGAGAAATGTTGAGTCAGTTAGGATTAAGTCTGCTGAAGCATTCCCCTTCCCTGCCTTCAGTGTAGTGGAAATACTTCCTTGGCCCCATGTAATAACAGAAACCAGTGTCATTCTCGGAAGTTCTTAAAAGGTCAGAAGGTGATAAAAAGGCAAAAACATTCTACTTTCTGTACTATATGGTACTTATATCAGTATTTGTACTTAACTGATATGGACTGAAGTACAGAATTTGATATGGATTGTTGTAGACGCAGAAGATAGTGCATTATAAAAATGAATTTTTCAGAATGCCTGAACAGTCTTCACTTTTAATAGACAATTTCGTATTTGAAACTTGCTCAGGCTAGCATAAACTTGAATTTCATTTATTTAAAAAATACGTCAAGTATTCTGCTATTTTGAAATCAGTGACCCTAATGGGTCTCTGCTCATTTTACACCCAGTATTAATCTAGTCCATAAATGAGTGTTGTTTCCACTACACTCCGGCATCATAAATTTCTATGCTGTAGGTTGGGAACATGCGTTTTATATCTCTCACATTGTCAGTGTTTATGCTGATAATAAAGCAAACAAGTATAGTGAGGCATAATGTCCTTAAAATTACTTGAAATAGATATCTTGCTAAATGTCTTCTTGGCCATTGCTGTGGATAACTTGGCAGATGCTGAAAGTCTAAATACAGCTCAGAAAGAAGAAGCTGAAGAAAAGGAAAGGAAAAAGAATGCGAGGTAAAATAGCATGGGCATGTTGAATAAGCAGGAGAAGGAAGGAGGAGGGTACTGAATTCTTTCATAACGATTTCCTTTATATAAATGTTTTTACCTTCTTCAAAATTTATTGGACTCAGGAAAAAAATGGAAGAGTTTACCTAGACATTAAAATAAGACCCAATTAGTATGATTTTAGGTAAAAGTTGGGTAATAATTGGGAAAATGTGACATAATGGTATTAAGTACATGATGATAAGCCAATTGATATTTAAACATTGCAGTGGTAGGATTTGTTGAACAATTAGAACAAGAATGTATCTCTTGTTGCCAGTGCACAAATCCCTAAGGAATCAGTTCTCTAAGCCTTACATAGACAAGAAGAAAACCTTCATTTGAAATCAGTGCAGGCCTATTGAAGTCAATGCAAGATGTTTGTGAGTCCAAGGGCACAGTTTATCCCTGTAGAAAAGAGTAATGACCATGCATTGAATTTTTTAGGATTAGCTTCTGAAATTGTATACAAAATGATAATCTTTTAAATGGATTGTTGCATTCAAATGCAATAGATTTTATTGCTCTGACACCTGCAGCTGTGCAAATCGTTTTAAAGATTTTACTATATGATTTCAGGTATGCTCTCTTAACTTTTCATAGAACAGGTATAGTTCACTTAAATTCTTCTGTCTTTATATGACATGCTTTGTAATTGGTGTTGTATTGTTTTGTAGAAAAGAGAGTCTGGAAAATAAAAAAAGTGAGAAGCCAGAAGGTGACCTAAAGAAGCCCAAGGATAGCAAGGTATTTATTCTAAAAACTGTGTCTTTTCTAAGAAGTAGTTTTACTGATTTTTCTAAGGAGTACTTTTCAAGACTGCTCTGCATTGTACAATTTCTTCTATGAACCCATCATCCCTACATTTTTTTTTCCAGGCAAAGAAAGCTTAGTTCTGATGCTTTGCATCCTCACAGAATCTCTTAACCCAGAAAATCCTTTTGGTTTCAGGATATCCTGAGAAGGGAAGCTCTTAGAGCATGAAGTAGTTGATGTTAGAAAAATTTGATGTTATTTTAGGATCCCTATAGGTATTTTGCCTGATAAATCCAATGGAAGAGATTAGCGAATGATAAACTCTTAGTAGAATGTTCAAACATTCTTGGTAATTTTTACCAAAGCCTGTTTATTATATTCTCATTGTGATCTACACAGCCAGAAGAATGTGGATACTATAGAAAAATCATCTTTTAAAAATATGTATTAAACTGTCAGCTCACCTCTGTTCTCAGAGTTACCCTGTTTCAGAAAATTCAGACTAAGCATAGGGATCACTTCCCTGACTTCAGAGGCTTATTTGGTTTGCTTTCTGTTGAACTTTTTACTCCAAGCTATATTTAAATTTATTTTTCTTCTTCTGCCTCCCTTTCATTGCTGTAGGTGACAATTGCTGAATATGGAGAAGGAGAAGATGAGGATAAAGATCCCTATCCACCCTGTGATGTACCAGGTATGTGACTACCAGCCAGAAGACAAACACATTTGTTTGCTGAAATATTGTAAACTTGCTCTTGCTGAACACTGAATCAATTCCTTTGAAGTCGTGCTCTGTTACCAGTGGATAAATGGACCTGTAAGCTGCTAAGTGTTATCTTCTGCAGCTTCCTAGACAGCATATGAGAGTTAGGACTGTGAGCCTGAAGACTGCTGTGGTAATACTATCTGGATGTGAGAGCAAATTCTAAACTTTTCTGAAATGTTTGGCAAAAAAGGCCATTCTAGCGCTGATGATGTTTGAGCACTTTCGCCTTAGCTTCTTCCAGTCCAGTGAATGTACTTACCTAAAAACCAGTTCTGTCTGATTGTCTGGATGCCTGTTACAGAAATCCACCCTACCTTTTGAGCACTCGGTGCTCAACCAGTGTACAGAGCTCAGCACCCCTACAACACAGCTCAGGCACTGACTAAAGGTCAGGGGCTGAGCTTAAGTGGGGCTGCAGAGCCCATTTGCAGGGGGTGTGAGGGGAAACCCCAGATGAGGCTGGTCAGGGCCAGTAAAGCCTACTAGTGCACTCAGGGCACTTACGCACATACCTATATATGCACATAAGCATGTATATAAGCTCATGACAACTATATGGATGTTCATATATTGATTCATGGATTTTTGAAGCCATGCCATGAATAAGTATTTCCTATTAGCCATATATATTTTAATACAAGCCATGCTTTTATATTGTTATGAATAAAACCTCAATTTTTTTTATTTTATAGTAAAAAAGTGTTTAATTTAAAGTAGGTGAAGATGAAGAAGAGGAGGAGGATGAACCAGAGGTACCAGCAGGCCCACGTCCCCGTAGAATATCGGAACTAAATATGAAGGAGAAGATAACACCGATTCCTGAAGGGAGTGCCTTCTTCATTTTCAGCAGCACCAATCCGTAAATATAATTTTGAGAAATACTGGTTTAATTCATCAAGGTTTAGCAGTGAAGGAACAGACCTCCTTCCAGTGAGGCTGGGAATAGAACTCCAGTACCTTCAACAGGAGAGAGATTGGTGTCTCTCCTAAAATTTTCTGAATTACTTGGTAAATGAAAAGAATTTGATAAATATATTAATTTGCTTCCCACTGGTGAAGATAATAGCATTTTGTACATATAGTCTGTCAAGTCTGCACATGTCTGAAAAGTACCCTTTAATGTATATTAACCATTAGTATGTTGGTCACTGGATATAGGTGTGACACAAGATCTGAGCATCTTCTACATGAGATAGGATTCCTAGTGTCGTGGTTTAGCCCCAGCCAGCAACTAAGCACCACGCAGCCGCTCGCTCACTCCCCCTATCCCACTGGGATGGGGGAGAGAATCAGAGGAGTAAGAGTGAGAAACACTCCTGGGTTGAGATAAGACCAGTTTAATAATTGAAATAAAGTAAAACAGTAATGATAATAACAACAATATAATAATGATAATAATAATAACAATATACAAAGCAAGTGATGCATAATGCAATTGCTCACCACCCGCCGACCGATACCCAGACAGTTCCCAAGCAGCGATCACTGCTCCCCGGCCACTCCCCCCCAGTTTATATACTGAGCATGATGTCATATGGTCCCCAGTTTCTATACTGAGCATGACATCATATGGTATGGAATAGCCCTTTGGCCAGTTTGGGTCAGCTCTCCTGGCTGTGCCCCCTCCCAGTTTCTTGTGCACCTGGCAGAGCATGGGAAGCTGAAAAGTCCTTGACTAGCATAAGCAGTACTTAGCAGCAACTAAACCATCAGTGTGTTATCAACGTTCTTCTCATCCTAAATCCAAAACACAGCAGTATGCCTGCTACTAGGAAGAAAATTAACTCTATCCCAGCTGAAACCAGGATACCTAGTAACCCTAGGAACCTTTGTGGAGCAATACAGGTGAGGAAGGAGAAGAGAAAATGAGAGAGACAAAAAGAGAAAAGAAGGAGAAAGGATGTATACATTCCTCTTGTGGTAACAGCATTTTCCTAGATTCAAACAAACACTGAAGATAAAGACAAATTATTTCAAAAATTATGAACAATAATAGTTGGATTTTGGGGGGAATTGGAGTCTTTCACCGCTCAGTCTAACTCCAGAGTGGTTGAAGTTTTACACTGATGAAGAAAGCAAGCTTCAGTAGTCAGTAAAAGTTGTTACTGATTGTTGGATGGAAGTGAACAAGTGAACTTACAGGCTGGATATAGCTGTTACATTTATATATAGCAATTTCATGAGCAGTCTTAGAAGGGAGCTTAAGAGTTATCTGGCATGGGAGAATGCTGTGTTCTCAGTGGTAGGGGTCATCACAATTAAGTTTAGAAGATGGTGTGATGATCAAGATACAATGTTTTGGGCTGTATCTCATTCATCGCATGGGTTGTCTAAAGCTCTTCAGAATTTTCAAACAAACTGGAAGGAGCGCTATTTAAACTAGTAATTTTAAGAACACATATACTGAATGCAAAAACATTAGATTTGTTGAACTTGTCAAATTGCTTTTGACCTCAACTAATGCTACATGTTGTCAGGCCAGAATGGCCATCTTACTTAACTAGGATACACTATACTCAGATCATCTGCTTAATAACAGAAGAACAAATTTTCCCCAAGAACCTTCTGATTCTTCCGAAGAATTTAGACAACTTCAGTGTTAAGTTACGAACCTGATCCTGCCTTTTTGCCAATTTAATCCTGGCCCTACTCTACCAAGGTGCTTGAAAGCATTTGTAATAACCTTGGGCTCAGTGACTCCAAGCATATGTACAGTTCCACTTCATGTTATGTGGCTGAAACTTAGCAGTTCTGTAATCTTCAACACCCACTTGTCCTATAATTCTATAAGAAAATCTTCACAGGACATTCTGATTTAGGTTGAGTCTCTAAGTGGCACAATGAGATCTGCAGCCTAAGCCACATCTCACCATGTGAGTATTTTTGACAGCTTTAATCAAACTGGGAATCTGAAATGACTTATTATCTAGCGTTGGTCTTTTAGACATTTGCTTCTGTATGTGCACAGTGGTACAAACACTGGAACTTGTAGTGGCATTCACAACCCATTGAAAACCAACATGAGCTGAGAAATCCTCTCTCAGATTCCTCTGATAAGTGCATCTTCACTACAGGTGGATTGGATTTTGAATTTATTTACATTTTTAGAAATCAGAGCTATAGCTTCAGCATTTGTACTGTTTTTAGCTGCTGATGGTTGCTGTGTTCTATCATTGTTGTCAGAGTCATAGAAAACATGTATATTAGCCATCTGCTGAATTCTGTTTGCACACGTGGTATATTTTTGTATCTCTTCTTCAGAATTCGAGTGGGATGCCACAGGCTCATCAATCACCACATCTTTACCAATCTTATCCTTGTGTTCATCATGCTGAGCAGTGTTTCTCTAGCGGCAGAAGATCCAATTCGCAGCCACTCTTTTCGAAATAATGTAAGCCCTTAATTTTTATGTCTAAAGATAAATATATCCTCACAGGATAACAATCCTTTGGGACTAGTGCCTAGTTTTTAATTGTCAAGTTAAGAAACTTTCCTCTTTCAAGTCATACATTTCTATGTTTTTGCTTTAAAACCCATAAATCTTTAAAGACAAGTAACTTTATTGGTGGAACATCATAGGTAGTAGAACCATTTATTATGTACCTAATGTTTTTCCTTTGTTGGCTATTAATATATCAGAATAAAATATGCTCAAGCTGAGCATAATCTTTACAATTTTCATATTTTTTCATAATTTTCAGCTGGCATACCTGATATGCATTTCCTGAATTGCTCTTAGTGCCTCTCATTGGTTGATATGGATTTAAAAATGCCAGTTAAAATTACCACTGTTCATAACATGTTGGGAATAAACTCTGACCTGTCCTCTCTTCCCCTTCATTGACTCTATTAAATGGTCTTGGGGAGCTCAGAGTATCACTCTGTTAGTGAGTGTATGCATTTGTAAGGATATTACGTCTTCTTTCAAAGAAGCTAGTGTGACCACACTAATGAGTTTGAGTACCACCACATTGGACCTGAAGACCGTTGGATACCCAATTGGCCCATCAGAAACTAAACAAGTTTTACTTTTTTCTAAACTCATATGTAAAATGAGGATCAGAGCATGCCCAGCTCTTGCCTTGATTCAGAGTCAAATGCCATTTCAGCCTATATACAAACCCCCAAATTTGGAAGTGTTTCTGCATCCTTTTTTAGATATACTTGTAGAAACAACATGTTTGTAAGAATATTAATTTCAGAAATGTCTCTATTATTGAATAAAAGTGTAGTTTATGTGGTAAGTAAACATCTGTGTTCTCCTAAAACAGATTTCTGAATCCCCCATTTTATGTTCTTAATATAGTAGAAAACTTGCCTGTTACTCAAATGCACAATTATTAGACAAAGAAACAAAAATAAATCCAGTCTTGTAACCACTAATGTTTGTCTTACACTTGTTGCACTTATATTAGCAATGAAGCCTCTCATGTTATTGTGAGTTGTGCATGCTTTAGATTAGGTATGAAATAGCTGAGATGATGTGACTTGGTAATAGTCTGTGAGGACTTTTGGGATACTTTGACAGAACTTTCAGGCCTCTCCTGTCTTAGGTATAAATTGATCTGTAGACATTGCCATGGAGTTAGAGAAACTTTTCCACCTCTTACAGGAAAGATGGGCCTACTAGGTCAGTAGGTGTTGTATGCCTCTAGTTCTTGCTAGTGTAGATGCAGCCTCTGAAAGTCCTCTTTTGGCTTTTGACATTCTCTGAACATTTTTCAGTAACATTAGTAAGACCCAAAAGTTAAGACTTTATTCAAAGGTAAAAAGAGGTCAAAGCACAAAGACACTCTTCATGTACTATTCAGTAGAGCTGTGTGCTTCCCATATCTATAAAACTGGACAAGTGCAATCTGATGAATAAATCTAATGGATAAGAAAAAGAGAGCTGGTGGGCAAGACTGAAATTGTTATTGTAGAAATGGCTTGAAGGGCTGATAATTGTTTTTGTAGCTAGAGGAGTACTAGGAAAATGTAACTGGAGAGTGGTGGTAACTGAAAGGATTATTCCTATTTGGGACACAGACAGGTAAAATGTGAGAGTGATTTCAAGAAGGCATTGCCCTCTTGTAAATATTTACAAATGCACCAGACCTGCATATTTTTCTAGTTACTACCTTGAATGATCAGGTTCCTTCAACCAGCCAGCTCAGCAAGAGAATGAAAGTTTACAAACTGGAATGCCTTTAAATATTTCCTTTTAACTCTAGAATTAATTCCTCAGTGATTAATCTTTGTTGAATGGGTTTAATATTTGCCTGTTTTTTTCAGTCACAGCAAGGGACAGAAGGATGTGATCTTCAACTGAACATGGACAAAAAAAACCTATTTCCTTTTATATGATCTAATAGGAATACTGTCCTTGTCTGTTGTCTATTTTATTTCTCCTTCCCATTTCATTAGTTGCTGAGCCACAGGCAACATGTTTCTGTGCACAACTGTTTGCCAGATGGATTGCTGGATCCTTGAAACTAAACTAGTACCCTACTGCAGTGCATGTCGATCACTAAATTAGGTGCTAGCGATATGGCCACCTTGAAAGGGTGAAATCTTGGCTGTA